ATGACAGAATAAAACTATGCAATATGTTTTTGATTGATAGCATTCACAAGTGTGCTTATATGTAAAAAAAAAAAAATAGTTTAAAAAAATAAAAAATAAAAAATTAATTATTAAAAATTAATTATCTTGAAATTGAAAGATAAGAGCCCAAAAGGAAAGCAAAACAAAGAGAAGGTAATAGAAATGAGTAGCATGAAGATATAGGTGAACATGTGCTAGTGGTTTTTCATGCTCACATACTCATGCTCACAAATCTCACTTGTTGAGATTACAACAGCAGTTAGTTTTAACTACTTTTTACTGTTGTGCTTCTAGACTTACATTCTCTATTTTTTTCTCTGCACTCAGCTCAGACACATTGTTATATTTTATATTGTTATTTTAAATTCCCTGCAATTATTTTAAATTATCTATTTGCATTAACACTTATTAATTGATACATATGCATCGCAGATCATCTTTGTAATTTTCAAGTACAGAATAGTTATGAATATTGGGGGTAATGAAGCTTTTAAGTGAGATAGATATTACGTATGAAAGAAAAGCTTTCACTTAATAGTAAAAAATGGGGAAAAGGAAGTTCAGATGTACATGGAAAGCAAACTCTACAGTATACAAGAGAAATAATTCTTCATTTCTCCTACTTAAAGTTTCATATTTATGTGGAAAAGTCCTGCAGATTTGTGCACACAAGAAAACTAATTTTGATTTGTTCTCAGATGCAATACTGGAAAAGATATCTTACTGGAATAAGTCATATGTCAATGAAAGAAACATTTCAAGCTCTGATTTTTCTTCTTAGTAAACTCTGAGATCTTTACTGTAAACTCAGCAGTAACACATCTGTATATTGCTGCTGACTTATTTGCTGGTAAGCAAAGACAGGAAATTGATAGTCTAAATCAACTTATGTCTTATTTTTAAAGAAGTGGAAAAGCAAAATCCTTTTGTCATTTCATTGGAATAAACTTTAGTTTATATTAGTCAGAAGAAAGCAAGAGGACTATTATTCATTTTTATTTTTATTTTTTCTGTTTTAGAAAGTGTTTCTTTACTCGTTGGAAAACCAGCAAACAAAACAAAATGAGATGTTTAGATGTAGAGCTTAGGGGTGTGGTTTAGTGGGGACTGTTAGTGTTAGGTTAGAGGTTGGACTCGATGATCTTGAGGTCTTTTCCAACCTAGAAATTCTGTGATTCTGTGATTCTGTGAAAACAAAATAAAACAAAAGGTGCAGAAATACTGCATATTAAACATGTTTTTTGCAATCAGATTATAGACTCTTGTTTCCACTCTCTCTCCTCTCCCAAAATACTACAATCCTAAGCAAACCCAAACAACAATAAAAGTTGAGGTACCCTAAAACAATAACAAAAAAAGATCTGAAAAGATGCAAATATACTAAACTTAGATGTTTAAGAATCACAACCATGTTAACAGAAAGAAGGAGAACAATTGCTTTTGAGAGTTAAAAGGTGCTCTTTGAATGATGTTGCATTGATTTTTTTTGTTTGTTTGTTTACTAAATAATAATAATTAAAAACAAGCACACACAAAAAAAAAGGAAAAAAAAAAGAAAGAAAAAAACTTTTGTGGAAAAACAAACAAACAAACAACTTTTCTTGGTGTGTGTGAGAAAATAGCTTTTAAGAACCTGTTTGAGAGGAATTCCTTCTTTTCCTTCAGACAGCAACAATAACTTAAGAAACCTGAAAACAAATATTTACTTGATTTGATGCTCCTTGATTTAATTCAACTCAATGAGTGTACAAACATTACTGAAAAGTGTCAAATGCTTTGAAAAAATCTTGCTTAGTGACATTGTTCTGTAACAATGCTAACAGCTTAAAAAAAAAAAAAAAAAAAAAGGGCAATAAAAAATGTAAACTAATCAAACAAAAACTAGACCTGAAATAATTTTAATTTAAAAAATAAGTTATTTACACAGTAACTTATACATGCACATATAACAATTTACATATACAGGTGCTCATGCCTCTCAAAACCTAGAGTGAAGAAACAGCAAGAGCATTGAAAGTACACATGAAACACTTTAATGAGAACCGGTATGTGTTTCCCTGGACAAACTGTAGAATCTGCTTTAGTTTTAATATTCCTATGACATATGAAGATTCTTTGCCATGAAAAGGTCAAGTATATAATTTATCAAGCAGAATATACTTGGGCGACAATAGAGTTGTAAAAGCTGAAAGGAGTAAATTGGCTGTGCCTTCTAGATGATGATTGCCCTGCAAAGCGTGGGAGGAGATCCACACTGTTCTCATAGTACATCTTAAGAGAAGAATTTAATTTTGCATCTAACATCCCTTTTCCAAGACAAATATACATAGCCCTTAGGAGCCTGGAATCAAATCTCACAGTTCAAGTCACTTAGTGTTGTGTTTTGTCAGACTATCTGTTTGTGACAAAAAGAGTCTTAGAAGCTCCATCTCCTGCTCAGCTGCTGCTCTTACATAGAAAAATAGGCAGAACTCCACTTTAAGTTGCCTTTTCCCGTAAATAATTATGAGAGTTATTGTAATAACAATTCTAATAATCATGATTATATATGAGTATACAAGTTATAAGAATCAAAATTTGAGTATATATGTAGCCTAGCCTTGTAATGGTTTAATTTGAGCAGACACTGATGAGTTCTTCAGCCATGTGTCTATTTGCTGACTGAGACAAAAACAAGTAGCATTTGGTTGCCTGATTTTGTATTTCACAAAATCTTCCTCATTTATTTCCTCATCTCCAAGGGCAATCTCTGTTTTAATATTTGCTTAATCATATGAATGAGAATTAAACCTAGTCCACACACTGTAAGGAATAAGATGAGTTCAATGGGAAGAATGAGTGTTTATTAAGGAATGGAAAACCATAATATTCCTACTGTTATCAGAGTTCCTTTCCTGTGGGCTTTGCCATCAAGCATATCACCATCTCAGCAAGAATGGCACTGGTTTATCTTTTTTTTTTTTTTTTTTTTTTTTTTTCCCCTTTGGTTTCCAACCATTGTTCCTATGATTAAATCCTTTATATATTTAAACGACTCCTTGTCTCCTTGTCCATTCACCAATATCTTCCACTTCCCACTTTAAAGTCTGACCTCAACTGCTTCTGATTGTTTGCTTCTGCTTTTCTTTCACATTTAAAAAGGCTGTCATGCCTAATCTTGCTAGAGTTAGACAGCTTTTCAATTCATCTGCAAGAAGAATCAGGTCCTAAAGTACATATTATGTCAATGCTAAAAATGGTACAGTTCTCAAACCTTACGCAACTCCATACCTCTTGGGGCAGTATTCATTCTATGCAAACCATGTGCAAAGAATTGATGAGCCATCAGAAGAAGCAAAACATGACAGTGGAAAACATTTCTGACAATTTCTTTGCTAACAGTTATCTTGAAGCCTCACATTTTCAGAGCTCAGATTTTATTTATTTTATTTTATTTTATTTTATTTTATTTTATTTTATTTTATTTTATTTTATTTTACTTTATTTTTTATTTTATTTTATGACCAGACCTTCTGGATACATGCCTGGTTTTGTTTTTCATACTACAAAGCAATGCCGGGAGTATTGCCTGTTTTACACTCAAACTTTGACTCTACATTGGAGCATCTAAAAAAGAGGATTTCTCTGTCAGAACTTCAAAGCTATTAAAATTCATTGCCCCTCTACATTAAAATAGTGAAGATTTCTCTCCAAAATCCTCAGGATGCAGCAAGAAATACTGATGGTACTGTTTTGCTGTTTCTTACTGTTTCTGTTATATATGGAGTGGTAATTCGTGTCAGAAAAACGGTTGATATTAATAAAGAAGGGGGAGATTTGGGAATGTGGCAATGGGGGGTCGGAAAGCCTCGTGGTTGGTGATAACATCAAACTCTTTAACGATGAGGTCATCGGGAATGTAAAGAGTTTAGAGGAAATAAAGAAGGGTGATTGAGGCGACGCCCTGCCATCTGGGATTGCTTGTTTTCCCCTCTGTTAAGGAACGGAAGTTGCTGGGGGGATTGCTGGTTAACATTTATTGTTTAGTGTGGTTTCAAGTGTTAACGAAATGCGGGAAAAGCAATCACGTTTTGTTGCTTTCGGGAACCTTGTGGTGGGCAGAGCACGTGCAGAAGAAGAGGGAGACAGTCGAAGCTGCTCCTGCATTCTGGAACAAAAGGTTGCTAATGGTGATGGGGAAACCGTGAGCCTTTCACCCACAACGACCACCACAAAGAGAATTATAATATGAAGCGGGGATAGGATATCCATATGTATAGGCGTACTCGGGTTTCTTGTAAATATGTAACAGCAATGTCCTATATATATTTGGAAAGTTCGACGAGTGCGTGTGAGTGTTGGTAGAGCATACACTCCCCGCGCACCCAGCGCTGTTTACTTGGCTTTTATATATATTCTTTTATGTTACTAAATTCAGAGTTGAGACTTCATTTATATCATTTATTTTCTAAAATTTTTTAGTTTTACTTCTTGAAGGTGCTGTCCTGTGTGCTATGCTGTTAGCAGGAAATCATGCTAGTGGAGAAAGGCAGAAATGTCTGCTCAGGGCTTGATCACCATCTTTACTGTCAGAAAAATCTAGCATTTTCTGTCACACACATGTAGGAATTACCTCCTACAGGTAATTGTAGCTTTTTTTGTAAATTGTAAATGCAGCTGTAGCAATTACCTCCCCTTTAAAGGAATACATGATTCCTTATAATAATAACAATGAATTATTGCCAAAATCTATGTGGTATTAGAATTACAAAAATTTCAGTTACTTCACTTTTTTTCCTTTTTTTTTTTTTTTTTTTTTTTTTTAGAATACAAAATATTTTCTATAAAAATGGTAAAATAAGGATAATTTAAGCTAATAATTGATTCATTGATTTGAAGACTATTCAGAAGATAACACAATCATTTCATTGACTGCTGATCTGTGGCAGTATTGCTATTTATGAAGCACTGGCAAGAGCTGAAAACAAAAATTGTGTCACTTTTTTCTTGGGTACTAGTCACTTTATTGGCATGTCTGAATTTGATACATTATCTCGCACAGACCACAGAAAATAGAGCTTCTGTAAATACACAATTTATTACGAAAGAATACTGTTTGCAAAGTGTCTGCTGTGTAGGAGAAAAGTAATTATTAACCATGGACACAACTTCTCAAAATTCAAAAATTAAAATTACCTATAAATTTGTATTGCCTCTGTGCAATTTCAGTAGCTTCTTCTGTGATTAACGCAGAATGGCTTGTAATTGGACATCTCTTTAAGGTCCAATCTAAAGTATTGAATTTTATGGAAACTGAAATTCTATTTATTATTATTATTGTGTGTTTGTGTGTGTGTGATCAAAAACCACAGGTACACCATTGTTTGATAATAATGGCTTTCTAATTGTGACATATTTTATGACCACACTGGGAAGGGTTTTCTTTTTCATTAATGGTATTGACCTGTACACACAAGAGACCACAGACATTCTCAAGGGTTGAATGCTTTGCTTTCATCTCTAATTTTCAGGACTGTTTCACTTCTAATCCTGTATTTGACAGTCTTTTATGTGTTTGTGTGTGTGGCCTTGAGCAACTACTCATACTTTTAAATTTCATTTTTCTATACCATGAAGTGTTGAAAACATTTTTTTTTTCCTATGAATTAAATTTACTAGTGTATTTGCAAATGGAAGGAAACTATAAACAGAAAGTATGCGTGTTTTTATTTCCTTTTTTTTTTTTTTTTTTTGTATTTTCTTTTTGTTTGCTTCTTAAATTTCAGACAATGAAATTACTAGACAAGTGAGTATAAGAAGTTATTTTTTCAAACATAAAAGCCTAAAGTTGTTAAAAAGCCAAATCACTCTCTTTCCTCTAAAGAAACAACAAAGATATATCTTAAGCTCCTTAGGTTTTCATCATTGCTGAAAACAGATATTTAACAGAGTTTGGTGAAAACACAGTAGAGAAAGATCTTTCCCTATGCCAGAGGAGGTGAGGATAGACTGATCCAATGCCTACTGCTTTCCTGCATGTCCTTCTGTTCACGCTAAAGAGACTGCTGGAATTTCTTTTCAGCAGCTGCTCCTTCCATTCAGCAAAGGTCTCCACTCTGTGCCCCAGTCCTCTCCTTGTTGCTTAACAACTCATTGTCCTTCTCCTTCCCAGTAGCCAAAAGTAAAGATAAAACAAGATTATTACGGAATGTGTGAGTAGAAAAATAGAGAGGGCTATTCACTGTATTCTAAGCTGATAAGACTGGGCTGCATCAGAAAAGGGAGGTTTTTGGCTCTTGGGCCTCTGGGAATGGGGAAGGAGGAGAGCAAGATGTCAAGATTCACTCCTATCCCACTTTCAGGCAGGATGCTTCAAATCATGCTATTCCAGCTAAGTACCATTCACCCATGCAGAATTCTCCAAGTCTGCAGGTCTTGACTCCTGAAAGCCAGCAGGTTGCTTCGTCCAATCTCACACAGAACAGAGTTCTCCTCCTCCTCCTGCTCCTCGTCCCAGCTAGCCACGGAACATGTCCTTTGGTGATCACAGGTGTCATTCTTCTTACACAATAGAGCTGGCTGTAATACCTTCTGATTCAAAAAAATAAATTGATCGATTATTTTGGAACAAACAGATTTGTATCTGTAGATAGTTATAGTATTGTTTATTAAAAGAACACTTTTTAAACAAAATTTCGAAGTGTCAGAATGAGAAAGATACTAGGACTGCAGTTAACTGTTTTTATCTGTGTGATATATGATTTTACCAAGTGTTTACTCTTTCTAAATCTGCAAGAGAGCTGTTGATAAGAAATTCTAAGCCAACATATGGTGATTACCACAATCTTTATCTCTGTAAATATCTTCTGTAACCATCTAGAAAAAAGAATGCAACCAACTTGTTAAAATATTTACAAGATGTTTGCATTCCCCATAAACTACTCTTGACCTCTTTATCCTGTTGAAGACTGTTCCTGCTTGCTGAAAAGGCCTGAGGTAGACTGTGCGCAATGCCAATTAGGGATTTACACATTGCCTCTACCAAAGAGTTGGGCCCAATATAAACACTTAAATAGCTATTCCAATTAGAACATCAAACTTCATGCAAACTTCATTCATGAAACACTTCATCAGATTTTTCTGTTGTTGTACAGAAAAAAACCACTAACCTTATTCTTTGAAAATGTCAGTAACTTAAACTATGTTATTGATGATCTTATTTTTTTCCTTTAGGGGGAAAAAAGTTATAAATGAGATTTTTTTTTTTTTTTTTTTATAATATTTCAAGACCATTCATTAACTATAATTTTGGTGCAAAGGACTGAGGCCAGATGAAATAAGGTAATTACTATGTTTGTCTTTCTTGTCCTTTCTGTTTCATATTTATCTTTTTCTATGATGTTACTCATATATGCTTGGACAAGGATTTTACAATCCAATCTCAGAAAGGGTTAATGAACCCCTTGTAGTTTTCTAACCTGTTCTAGTCCTGTAAAGTGGAGCAATTTAATGTTTTGTGTTAAAGGAATTAAAAACACACAGTCTGAACACCCGAAAGGATAAATTAGTTTGTAAAGGTCTGATCATTTTCTGCTCTACTGTAAACCCATTGTCATTAATTCTTTCTTAGTATAGTGTAAAATTATATCCCCATAGTTAACATAAACATATTTTAAATGGGTAGATATATCTATTTATGTTTAACTACATGCATACCTCAGTTTAAAGATTGCTATAATTAGTTCAACTTACTTAACCTAAAAAAAAAACAAAAAAAAAACAAAAAACAAAAAACAAAAAAAAACTAGCTGTTAGATTATACATAAAAATAACATTCAATCTGTTCCATTCACCCAAACACTATTGATTGTAAAGATCCCCATTTCTCTGATAGATGAAATTCAGCCTCCATGTTAAAACAATCCAGAAGCTCTTCAGAGCACGCTCAGACCGATAATTGTGCTAAAGTACATACAGTAAATGATGCTATTTTGCTTTACTGAAGACTAAATGGGGTTTAACTCTCCCCTCAGATAGATAGCTTCTGGTCCTTTATTATGTGTTAAAATCTATTTACATATATTTTAGTAATTTTATTGCAAAGGTGAAAATAAAGTAATTTTTTATCTGTTTAAAAAGGTATGAACAAACCACATCCTATATATCTAAATGACAGTAGGAGACATGTCACAGAATCTCAGCAGAAACACAAGAGTCTGGAAATCTTGGGTACAGCTGAGTGTCGTGGTTCCGCTCGAGTGGGCAGCCGAGCTCCACCACAGCCGCTCTCTCACTCCCCCTCCTCAAAGAGGAATGGGGAGAAAATATGTGAAAGGGGCTCAAGGATTGAGATAAGGACGAGAAAATCACGCAATAATTAGTGTAACGGGCAAACCAGACTCAGCATAAGAAGACAGATAGTAAGATTTATTGCTCATTACTAACAAGCTAGAGAAGTGAGAAACAAAGGAAAGAAACCAAAAGCACCTCCCCCCCCATCCACCCTCTTCCACCTCCTCCCCCCGAGCGGCGCAGGGGAACGGGGAAATGGGGGTTATGGTCAGTCTACAGCACTTCTTCTCTGCCGCTCCTTCTCGGTCACTCTCGTCCCCTGTGCTGTGGGGTCCCACCCACGGGATGCAGTCCTTGACGAACTGATCCGGCGTGGGCTTCCCACAGGCAGCAGCTCTTCCAGAACTGCTCCAGATATGGGTCCGTACCACGGGGTCCATCCCTCAGGAGAAAACTGCTCCAACCTGGCTCCCCCACGGGCAGCAGCTCCTGCCAGGTCACCTGCTCCTGCGTGGTCTCCTCTCCACGGGCTACAGGTCCGGCCCGGAATCTGCTCCGGCAGGGGTCTTCCACAGGCGGCAGCCTCCGTCGGTGCAGGGCCACCTGCTCCACCGTGGTCTCCTCCACGGGCTGCAGCGTGAAACCCTGCTCCACCGTGGTACTCCATGGGCTGCAGGGGGACATCCTGCTTCACCATGGTCCTCACCACAGGCCACAGAGGACTTCTGCTCCGGCGCCTGGAGCACCTCTCCCCCTCCTTCTACACTGACCTTGGCACCTGCAAGGCTGTTTCTCACTCCCTTGACTCTCCCGGCTGCTGTGTGGCGCAGCAGTTTTTTCCCTGTCTTAAATATGCTCTCACAGAGGCGCAAAACAACATCGCTTATTGGCTCAGATTTGGAAAACAATGAGGCCCTTCCCAAACATGGGGCAGCTTCTAGATCTTTCTCACAGAAACCACCCCTATGGCCCCCTGCTACCAAAGCCTTGCCACGTAAACCCACTACACTGAGCCAGAAATGATATTCTCACCCTTTGCAGTTTTTGAGAAAAGAAAGTGAGATGATTTCAAAATGGAGGGGTAGGCGTTCACAACAAAAGCCAGACACCAGAGTGAAAGCCAATTTCTCTTCCTGCTCTTGAACCCTCATGAACTCAGGGGTCACGTCAGATAATTGCCCAGCTTATAGTCATTCTGATATGGACCTTTTCCAGTCTCTTGTCTTGAAGTTATTTTCTTTGTATTTCTTTACACCAGAGTTGTACTCCAGTCTGCTTTTGCTCAGGAGAATTACTGAAATACTGAACTTAAGGACAAAGAAACTCTCTATCCTTTTGTCCTAACCTAGTTTCTTGGAAGGGAACAGCTTTAAAAGATGAGATGGAAAGAAAGGCGTCTATGTTGTAGCCAAACAGGTACTCAGAATGGCACTGTATTTGGTCTCTTACCAGCTGCTGACCACCACAGTGCCTGTCTGTTCACATGTTGTTCTGCTCTGGGACTCATACACTGTGCTGAAAATGATTGATAACATATTTCCATCTGCATGGCAAGAGCTGACTTACGGACCACCTTCTGGTACCATCCCGAGGTGATGTCCTCCACTGTGAGCATGGTCTCAGGATGCTGTTTCTGGTATCATGCTGGGAGATAGACTCAGCTAGTACCTCTCCTGCTGCTTTCCGTCATTTATTTTGTGCTGGCTCTAGCACTCAATCAGATGTTGAACTCCTTTTAATCAATAAATGGCAGAAAATTAAGTTGGGGAAAAAAAAAAAGTATTTGCTGCCATGCTCATGATACATTACATGCATTCTTGCCATGTATCTAATTCAGCAAACTAAATTAGATTACAAAAAAAAAAAAAAAGAGAGAGAGAGAGAAAAGGGAAGTGAACCTTTCCTGTTCCCCCTGGTTATAAGTTTTTTTTGTTTTGAGTTGTAGTTTGATTCAGACATAACATAAAATGTCACAGTTCAGTGTTTCCATCTGTACCATTAGGCTGCTTTCCACAAAAGACATTTGGAAGGATGGAAGTTTCCAAAATTTACTTCCATTTTGGGCAAAGAGTGATTCACCATAAATTTATTATGTGGATATTTCACAAATATAACTATTAACAAAGCTGAAGTTTCAGACAAAATATGAATCTACAATGTACTGCTTGATATTTAAAGAGGTTTAAAGAGCTTCTGCATAAATTTATGACCAAATCCTGCATAATAATTTAATCAATGGTGTCCAAAATCAGTAATCCTTAACACAAGTTCATGCATCAGTTTATTCCTGAGAATTTTGTATTTAAACACAAACCTAATTTGATTTTTCTCATCTCTCTTTATAAGTCCTACCTTGCTGCTACACCAGAATTAGTTGCAAAAAACAATAGCCTTGTAAAAAACAGCAGCAGCAACAACAATAACAAATGGATTAACATTTGAAAAAATAATGTATTTCCAGCAAAGTTGTAACAGAAGTGCATGGCTACTTCAAAATCAGAGACTGCATTTGCTTTACTATTCACAAGTGCAATCAAACACTATCACTTAAGATTTGCAGCAACAGATTACTGAAGGAATTTTATCCTTCGTTCTTTGAAGAGGAGATTAAAAACTGTGTTTTTCTGTTTGTCTGTATCACTGTCAGCACCCAGATAGGAAGTATATCAACCATAGATGAAATAATAAACAATGCTGATATGTAATACATTGTAAATTTCTGGTTAATTTCTTTTGTTGTGTTTGATGAATTGACTTTGTGGAAAAGGCAATAGATCTCAGAAATGTCTACACCACTTTGTTGTGTTTTTTAATCAGAACAATATTTCAATTCATATGAACACAGAGACAAGTACATTAGGCTATGAAGTTTCCTCCCTCCTCACTAAACACTGCAGCTATAACCTAGTGAGTAGAAATGAGGCAGCTTAAACATCCAAAACTATTTTTCATGAAGATAATTGACGTCACAAAAAGCCTTCACTGTGTAGAAGTGAAAAGATATAATCACGTATCTATACAAATTAGTGTGGTTAATTTATGTTTATGAAGTTCAAAATAAAAGGACTGCATGTGGATTTAAAACAAAATTGTCAGAAATATACACTGTCTTAATGATAATAAGAAGAATTAATAATTAATAATAATAATAATAATATGGTTTAAAAAAATAGTGTTTCTAAAAGCAACTCTTCAAGATACTTACTGAAAAATCCCCTACATTGCATAGAAATTTTCAAGGACTGAAAAACCATCTCTTCAACTCCTCTATTATCCCAGTTTGTTACAACATAGCAAAATGCATCATGAGATAACTAAACTCCTACATGTCTAAGGGGACAGGTGTGTGTGTGTAATTAATATAGTTACCATCCCTGAAAGCCAACTTAAGGTTAGGACACAGGAAAATAAATCCATGTATCTGGATTGTAAAGATGGTCAGTGAATGACCTCTATTGACTCTTCAGTCAGCTAAAGAAGGGTGAAGTGGAAAGTTTCCATTCTAGAAGTAAAGTGAGCATGGGTTTGTGCATGTGTGCATGTGTGTGTGTGTACACGCATGCTCATGTGTCTCTGGAGAAGGTAATTTGACAAATTAAGGCATGATCCTCCAAATGAGTAATACCTACAGATTTTCTGTGGTTCTGGTTACATGAGAACATGGTTTCCCCATGTCTGTTAAGTAGTCCAGCAACAATTTTTTGAAAAACGTATTGATCTGGAAAGCATTTGTGCTGGCCTACAAATAAAGTCTTACAAACTTTTCCCACATGCATTTTAACAGCCAACAGCTCAGGGATACTGGAGTCAAAGGTTAATATTTTAAGTTACCTGAAAGCTCAAATTCCAAGATTATGCATGGCACTAAAATGTGCTTCTCTAGCTCTAGCAGTACGCAAAGTACTGTGCCTTCAGTTTGTGCTGGTTTTCCAAGTCTAGCCGTTTTAGCTGTTTTTTACTGTTGGTTTTTGAACCAGCTCCTTCCGAAATCTTGTCAGAAAAGAAGAGGAAAGGTAATAAAACCAGATAGCAATCATAATACAATTATCTTAAGGACTAATCTCAAGTCCTTCTGTCATCAAAATAAATGTTTAAAGCTAAGAATTTCATCCTCACAGAGCAGGAAAAAAAATCCCCTTTCTTACAGTTTGCAGGATATTAGATCAGAACAAATAATAGCTTTGTTCTTTATCAGCATTTTCTGCCCTTGTAGCTGAAGTAAATACAGCATGAACTGGTCTTTGAGACCTAGGTATTTTCCCCATCCCAGCAATAAAGAACCTACACAGAAAGGAAAGCACTTGCTATTGTTAACTACCACTGAGCTTCTGTCCATAATGCCGTGTTTGTGTTAGGCTGGCAGTGGCAGGAGCAGGCGGGCAGGGATTCCTGAGGACACCGAGGCTGGTGGGCACAGGGGCCTGCTGATTGGAACCTGGTGAGAGCCCATCCTGTCTCAGCGCAAGAGGCTAATAAGAGAATTTATAAGTTGTCATTTTTCATTGCTTTCAGTAATACCTTCCAAAAACAAGGTGACACTTCTTGTTTATCTTTGTATTAGACCGGTAAATGCATAAATATGGGATTCTTCCACAAAAAGGGGATATACTGCATTACAAACATTCATGGTAAGACAGACCTTTGTAAATGAGGACTGAAAAATACGGTGTAGGCATTGAATTCACTTTTTTTTTTTCTTTCTTTTTCTTTTTTCCCCTCACAATAAAGGTAGCTTCAGGCTGGCCCAAGTAACTTCCAAATTTTTGTCAGATGTGCTGACTTATTTCACTGGAGGGTGGAGAGAACATTAAAATAAAAAGTTTTAATCTTTCAACTTGAATTATTCTACTTCAAATTTTACTGACATTTGAAATAAAAGAAAGAATAATAAGAAGACAAGAAAATGTCATAGAGGATGAAACAGACCATTTTCTATGGCATGAAATATTTTCTTGTAGGCTTTTAATTGATCATTTGACAAGAAAAAAAAAATATGATAAAAATAAATAAATAAATAATTCAATATTAATTCAGGCCTTTTTTTTTTCTTTTTTTTTTTTTTTCTTTCCCCCCTGAAAAAAATCTGTTGTGGCTCTAAAATGAGAAGGATCAGCAAAAAGACAGAGACTGATGCATGTCACTCACATAGCCCTCATCCTGGCCAACTCCTGTCTCAGAGGTCCATGACAACCTATACAGTTTGAGATGTGCAGACACTTAAAATTGCCTGTCTGCTGCTTCTTCTCAGTGCAGATGTGAAATGTAATGGTGCATAGGTATTTGCCGGCAGGACTTTCGTACCATAAGTACATTTCACCTTTAATGAATGCTTTTTGTGTAAGACAGGGGAGGGGTCAGGAGGAAGAAGGATATTTCTGGAAGAAACTGGCCCACGTGAATTACTTCCCTACGGTTCCTGAGGAAAGAAAGACAGGCATCTCAAGCAGTCCTTCACCATGGGAACATGAATTTAGGTTCTCTCTAGTGGGTTCATCTCTCTCCATAAAATATAGAAGAAAGCCAGGAAGGCTATTTGGATTAGGCTGTAGCTGCCACTTATAACT